CCCCGGTGTCTCTTAGCATCTTCACTGGGATGGGGTCTGCGACCCCCATCCTTACGGTTCCTTGACACATGAATGGGTGAACTTTCTTCTCCCCATTCAGCACGGGTTCATCCCGCACTCCCTCGGCCCTCTGGTCCTCGAACATCACTAAAGCGACGTGTCCCCGCTGCTTAGGACGTCTGCATTCCCGCGCGACGTGTCCGAATATTCCGCAGTTGTAGCAGCGGCCCCTCGGCGGAGACCATCCGCCACCGCTCGCCTTAGCACTGCCTCCAGAGACCGTCACACCCTGTGTCTTTCCCGCCTCACTTGTCGTTTCTTTCCCTGCAGTAACAGTTCCCGAGCTCTCAGCTTGGTTCTCCCCTATTGGCTCTACAACACCTTTTGTTCCTCGGGTGTTCCAACTTGAGAAATGGGACTTGGGAGAACTCGTTCCTGCCCTCCATCCATCCGTCCTTCTATAACTCCGATCGTTTCCGACGTATGCGGGTGGTCGGTTCTGTCGCTCCCGGCGTGGGCGTAGGGCTTCTTCTAACATGTCGGCCCGGTCGGCTGCGGCCCTCAGGTCCTTTATGTCCGCCTCCTTTATCCTCATCCTGATCTCAGGAGAGAGCACGGACATAAACTTTTCCATGGCCATTAGTTCCTTGACCTCTTCGACCGACCTTGCTTCTTCAGAGTCCAGCCACTTAAGGAGCTTTCTTTCTATGTCCCTCGCCGTCTCCGCATACGACTTTCCTGGCAACCGGGTACATTCTCTAAACCTCTTCCGGTAACACTCTGGCGTGAGTTTAAAGGAACGGAGCACAGCTCGTTTTACCGCATCGTAGTTAGTGCATTCTTGGAAGTCGAGCATAGTGAAGGCTTGGCGAGCTTCCCCTGTGAGCCTTCCTTGGACCAACTCCGCCCACTCCGCCCTCGGCCACCTCTTCATAGCAGCAACTCTCTCAAAGTGATCGAAGAAACTTTCGGCTTCACTAGGCACAAAGACCGGCAGGTCTCGTTCCCTCACTCGTCGGTCTTCCTGTGGCGGGGCAGGGGGCACCTAGTCCCAGTTCAGCTCGCTTCAGCTCCACCTCCTGGTTGGCTTCTATTTCCATTTGTCTCAGCCTAACTTCTTGCTCTCGTTCTTCCCTGCGTAGCTGTGCTTCTCGTTCTTGCTCTTCCCGGCGCAGCTGTGCTTCTCGCTCCTCACGCTTCGTCTGTGCTTCTCGCTCCTGTTCTTCCCGGCGCAGCTGTGCTTCTCGCTCCTCACGCTTCATCTGTGCTTCTCGCTCCTGTTCTTCCCGGCGCAGCTGTGCTTCTCGCTCCTCACGCTTCATCTGTGCTTCTCGCTCCCGTTCTTCCCGGCGCAGCTGTGCTTCTCGCTCCTGTTCTTCCCGGCGCAGCTGTGCTTCTCGCTCCTCACGCTTCATCTGTGCTTCTCGCTCCTGTTCTTCCCGGCGCAGCTGTGCTTCTCGCTCCTCACGCTTCATCTGTGCTTCTGCTTCTCGCTCTTCTTTGCGCTGCTGTGCCTCCAGCTGCAGCTTCATTATTTCCAGCTTAATGCTGTGCCTGCTGCCGCTGGATCCCCTGCTGCTTCCACCAATACTCAGGTGCTCACCCTCACTGGCAGGTGTTTGGGGCCGTTCCTCCCCCAAAGCTTCGTCTCGAGCCTTGAGCTGAGCCATTATCTCTAGTCTTCTTTCACCAACTCTGGCAGATTTCAGCTTTATTCCAAAATGATCCGCTATAGCCTGTAACTGTGCCTTGGTGCACTCTTCCAGCACCTGTACGTCTCTAGAATCAATAAACCTCGCTACTTTATCATCCTCCATCTTGTGCTACGAGTGTTAACCTGCACCTGATCTCTAACACCACTGCCAAGTACCACTGCAACCTTTACTCCGATCTATATCCTGGCAAGGTCGCCAATGTTGGGGGTTTCACCTCTCTATTATTCTCTACCCTTACTCTGGGGTGAGCAATAGTTACGCTCAAGGTAACTCACCGTAGCCCTGCGGGTCTTCCCTCGATCCTCACGGCGCCACTGCACGCCAGGAGAGTCTCCCAGTCAATCTTAACGGCCTCTTATTAAGAAAGAGTGAGAACACGACTCGATCACATCGACTGTCGTGTGCCCTCCCCAACAATAGGGCTCTACGGTTAAACACAAGATCGCCAACTGGTGTTTAAGGTGGCCAGTAACACCCTCAGTGGACTGGTGTATTCAGTGGTAGCCTTGGCAAGGTCACACTCAAAGATCAGGAATCAGGCAGGTACTTATTGTTATCACTCTATGCTTACAGGTATAGTATAGCCACAAGATCAATGGAGGGGATGATAAAAACACACAGATAGTTTTGTGTTTTACTTAAAATGTATGAAAGATGTCACAAAGCCACACAATAATCTATAAATCAACTGATCCTGACTCGGCTGGTAATTCCCACGGATATTATGCGATCATCAGGGGGCAACATCTCCCCCCCCTCATCAAGTGTCAAAAACCAGCTGATCGCGTGGCCTCTCCGCGCGAACTTTGCTTGTTTTCTAGATTCGCTGTTTCGTTAAATTCTCCAATATTACTAGAAACTCGCACACTCGATATTGGCTAAATAAACCGGATTACTCAGTTACACTGTACTCAGGCTCAAACAGTCTTTTCTACAATCAATGCTATAATGATTCACTGTAATGGCTTCACATTGTTCTTCACTCAACAATATATTATGAACTATTAACACTGGAGTTTTCAGTACTTTCTCTCGTGGGCGATAACGCAATAATTCACTGTACTCACAAATGATTATTCACTGAATGAACATAGACATATATATGGTATATAAATCAATCATCAATACATGGAAAATAAATAGTTTCTGGGCACATAGCCTAACCTCCAAATACTGGCATAATCTTATATATAATTTACCACTATATGTTCATATCAAAATCTATAGAAAGATATACACAACACAGTAAATTTATCACTGGTTCCTGGTGCCTGTACACACCAATAATCAACATGAATATTACAAGTACTCTTGATAGTACTGTCTAGCACACTGGTGCTTCACCGTGACATAGGTGAGACTTGCTCACGACATATAAAATCTTCAGGCTAGATAATATAGCCAAATAATATAGCTAACTAAAGGGGAATGGGGAGGGAACTAGAACCACCTACTTCACCCTATCCTCCGATGAGAGTCGAGATGTAGCTCCTGGTCCTCGTGTCGGGCACGCACCCACACTACACGTCGTCGTGTCCTACCAGAGCCTCTCGTCGTCCCACCGTTTAGCGCGTCGTCTCCGTGCCTCCTCACTGCAGGTCCGTCCTCCTCCTTGACTTCTTGAAGGTTGGAGTCGGTCTCCTGGCCGTCGTCTTCTCCCAGCAACGGCCGTCGCCTACGTCTCAGCTATAGTCGTCCGGTTTCCCCAAATAGTCCTCTCTTCCTCAGCTACCCAGTGGCTCTGTCAGCCACTACGCTGTCACGAACTGGTGAATTGCCACAGACGTCAACATACGTCACTGCACGGCTTCACTGCTACTGGCACAGTACCTGACTGGAGCACTTGTTGCTCAAATAACCGTCAATTCCCTCTTCTGGTTCAACACATGAACTAGGGAAGACTTCTCAGAGTACTGGCGGACTTCAGGTGACGCGTAAATCCACGGTAGTGGGAAACAGCTGTCCGACAGACAGGACCACTCGTCGCACGTCCGACCTCTATGACGTGTCGTGTCTGACTGATGGCGCCAGCCCGGCGCGCTGGCCGGACCCCCTTCCTTCGTGACGTCACTTTCGCTACGGGAAGTTTTCATTGGCTCCCGGTGCCACACTGCTGTCGGTGGCCAATCCGGTGCCACTGACGTCACACGGTTTTGGCGGGAGATCAGAGAAGCCAGCGCCATCTTGGCTCCCTAAAGGGCCTAAACCACAGGCCAAAACATTACTATTTCACAAATTTCTCGGCTCTCCGAGAACACTTCACTCTCTCCCATATATCAAATTGTAGCCTGCAACGTAGAGAACGCTTGGGAAAAGTAGACATGACTCTTACTGCAGGCATGGGAGAATTATAAGGGGGGGGAACTCCGTCACAATGTGTATGTATATATGTATATGTACATGTATGCATGAGTATGTGTACACATATATATAACATTAATAGTTTTGTAACTAGCGTCAGAAGATTGTTATTTGCTTAGCTAAACGAACTAGAGGGTTCAGTTCCTGAACCGATTATGTGCCTCTGTAATCCTTTACACCACCGCCCACGGGATGGGTATGGGGTGCATAATAAAGAAAGAAATTGAATTGAATTAGTCTCATGAAAATCATGAAGTTATTATCTAGTCAAATTTTTTTGAATTGAGGCAGGCATTTTCTCTGAGATGGGGATATTAGATGAAGTTATAACTAGTTTTTTATCTACACTGTGTAATCTTTCATATAGAATTAGGTAGCAGCACATTACTGTTTATACCCAAGCTTGTTAATAAAAAATAAAATAAAAAAAACTCTTACTACGAGAAATCTTATAGTCATGTATCCCAAGTTTACTTACTGTTATGTATATAACAATCTATACTGCAGATCGCATGATGAATCAAAATTTGCAGAATATACGTACCTCAATATAAATAAATACACAAATAAAAACATTAGATCTAGGCCTAAAAATTAATATATGAGCACTTCTTACGGTGTAAAAAAGTTTGACAAATTCTTGTGTGGGAAATGAGGCGCACCGCATTTTTTTATTATGAAATAGTTCCCTAAAAAAGTGTCATTAGACGAGAAAGCTTAGAATATTATTAGAAAGCTTATTATAATTAGTTATTATTATTATTATTATTATGAATTTGTAGACAGTTCATAATAATATTATTATTATTATGAATTTGTAGAAAGTTCATAATAATATTATTATTATTATGAATTTGTAGAAAGTTCATAATAATATTATTATTATGAATTTGAAGAAAGCAGACTAGGCGAACGCAGGCGGCCAGTATCCGGATAGTCCGGGCGTCGCGAACCCCCGCGCGGATTGTCTCCACAACAACACTGTTGCCTGACCTTTGCACTCCTCGAGCACACTGCGGCTCTTTCCAGGAAAAGAATATCGTACAGAGGTTTGTTCAAGTTAATATGAGCGTTGTTTAAGTGTATAGGTACAATGGGCACGTTGTGTTACTTGTGTATGTACAGTATACAGTAGAATAACACACACACACTAAACAAACAAACACACACACACATACACACACACACACACACACACACACACACACACACACACACCCCACACACACACACACACACACACACACACACACACACACACACATACATACATACATACATACATACATACATACATACATACATACATACATACATACATATACATAAATAAGACCCCCCTAGGTTGAACTACTGACCTTACCCAGGGTGCAACCCCACAACAGTTGCATAACTCCCAGGCACCTATTCACTGCTGGATGAATAGTGCTGTTTAATACTGGCTGAAGAAAATATCGATACCATTTTACCACTAGTGACTAAGCGACAAGGCATGTGGTATACAGCTCTCAAGAATATACTTGGTAGCTCCAAATATATGTGGGGTCCTTTTATATCATATCCCTTATGCTGTGGTGTATATTTTCTCAAGCTCATTGATTGCATGTTGTATACTGTATTATATTATTATTAAAATTGATGCATAATCTGTTGATGCTGTACTAGTTCTTCTGTATGAAAGAGTGGTGTCAACTTGTATATATGTAAGTGTATGTGATGGTGGGGTATGAACATGAAAAAACAAGAGTTAAAGCAGTCAAATTTGACAATTTGAAAAACATGTGTAGTGTTAAAGAATCATTTGAATTTACCAGAAGGCTAATATATCCCTAAAGGCTTCAAGAGTTAAAGGAAGTTGGCATCTTATCCAAAGTTCCAGGGGATATTTTATATCTTGATTTTAAACTGAAGCATTTATGGCTTTGGTGGATAAGTAGTTCCATGGGGTTTTTACCTTGTGGGTGAAAAAACAACTGTTTTCAGTCCATTTTGAATTGTAAAGTTTGAAGCTGATGGTGCTTTATGTGTAACATATAACCTTTTAAAGAAGTAACCTGGATTAATATCCTCAAACTGGTTCAGTATTTTTAGGGTCTCAATTATTTTCATTTCATTTCTTTATTATACACCCCATACCCATCCCGTGGGCAGTGGTGGAAAGGGTTACAGAGGCACATAATCGGTTCAGGAACTGAACCCCATAGTTCGTTTAGCTAAGAAAGTGACAATCTTTTGAAGCTAGTTACACAATTGATAATATTACATACACATGTACATATATATATACATCCATGTACAGTACACGAATGCAAATACATGTCAATAATCTTTTTATATAATAAGTGAGTCAACAACAGTCTCTATACAAGGCACTTTACATCTATGGTGAGTCAGTCACACAGTTACTAGTTTTGCTTCGCACCCACCCAACTGGGCGACAACTTTGCAGTCATGTGCATGCATTACCAATAGTAATCAAATTTTGGATACTGTACTTTGCTAAGATTCCTGACAGTACGTACATCATTATGAATGAAGTACAGTACTTACACATTTCTTGGACACCATTGATGGTGTTACCTCTGAATTCCAAATTTTTTCACATTCCATTATATAATATTGGAATATATAACCCATCCACATATTTTGGACACCATTGATGGTGTTATCTCTGAATTTCAAATTATTGTTCACATTCCATTATATAATATTGCAAAGTATGCAAATAGTTCTACTAACAGAGTTTATATTTAGTAAAATATACATCAGCAGAGGATGCAAACCCCTAGAGGCACTTGCAGCCAAGCCTAAGCCTAACAGTGTTAACATCTGAAGGTCTACTAACCTTATTGGATGACCCATAGACATGCAGTTCTTCCTGCATAATAGAATGATGATAGAGGGAATAACTGGTGTGAACTGGTCGCGATGAGATCAACCCTGTCATGTCTCATTTGCAGCAATGTTAATCCTGTAGTCCTCAACTGTTCCCTGTATGAGAGTTGACTCAGTTTTGGGATGTTTTTTGTCATGCTGTGTTGAACTTTCTCCAAAGCAGATATGTCATTTAGGAGGCAAGGCCTTTGTGGTTGAATATAGTAATCCAGATGGAATAATGAATGAGAATATCATGGAGATTTGTAGAACGTTAAAAATAAAATGCAGAGCAGAGCAGATCGAGATGGTTTGGGCATGCTGTATGAATTACAGACATGGTGAGTAAGCTTGTAATGAAGTAGTGTGTGTGTGTGTGTGTGTGTGTGTGTGTGTGTGTGTGTGTGTGTGTGTGTGTATAGTACTGTATGTACAGTATGTAAAGTATTGTACTTAGTTGTATTATCTTTTTTATTTATTTATGTATTTATTTTTTTTGCAGATAGTACCAGCATCTGAAATGAACTATTTATCATTTCTTTGTCGAGCAGTTCCACGTAATATCTTGAAGGTAGTTCCGCCACTAGTAAGGCCTCTTCATATTCTTAGACCAATTGAGCCAATAATCACAACACGAAACTCGATTTTGCAGGTGAGGGACAAGGTCTATTATAGATGCTTTTTCAACATTCAATATATTCATGCCTGAAACAAAATAATTTTGTTAGATTTGCTTGCTGAGTGTACAGTATTCATAGTTTGTTATTCTTTAAATGTTACAGCCAGAGTTATTTTCTCTTCAAAACAGCCAGTCACTCCCACACTTGTTCCAGTATGTGGAATGAAACAGAAGGGTCGACTTAGGCGACGTTGTAAAGACTGCTTCTTTGTTGTGCGGCAAGGGCGACTTTATGTCATGTGTCATACCAAGCCTCGTCACAAACAGATGGCCATGCAGAAATCTGAAAAAAACACTTGGATGTTATCACATGCCACAATGTCACCAAAACGACCATGGTAAGCTTGTTAACAACTGGTAATCTTCAATGTGGTTTTCATGACACGTAAAACTTACATTGCAACCATATCCTATTTCCCTTGTGTATTTATGAATTTCAAGGATTACAACAGCTGAGAACTGTATTAATGTTGTTGTATTGTAAATATTTTGTAATAATATCTGCTGTCTTATTAACCTATACAACTGCATTGTTTACATATTTTAATTTTGCTGGAAGGCATTACAAATGTTAAGAAAAGATTCTATACAAGGGTTAGGGTTCATGGAGGGGGGCAGCTCTTTTTTTTTAGTAGACAATAATACATACAATATGTACAAATGCACATGCAGTACTGTATATATCTACTCATCATATTTTTATGAATATTGTGGAGGTAGATAGTCTCTAGCATTTCTTGCTAGACATGTTTGCATTTTTGGTAGGGATTGTTTTGTGAATAATACTTGTTTGGATTATTTATACCAAGAGAGGCATGTATTAAAAGAGTTGTTCCAACAAATGTACAGAACTTTTGAGATAAAAGAATGAAATACTGTAATGGGAAAAAGACATAAGGGACATTCACATAGTATTAAAAAAAAGTAGCTTATTAGATCCCATTTGTATGTAAACCAATGTGCATTATACATGATCTTTCAACCACTGCCCACTAGATGCCAATATGGGGTGCATGATAGGCAAATTAATATTACGTGTAACTGGCTTACCACAATTAAAATAAATTGTTTATCTCGAAGATCACTGGGGCCCAGAACTTGAACCCATTTTGTGACACTGACAAATTTCCTGCCAATCACCCACAGGGTGGGAATATATCAGATTCATAATAAAATAATTATTAAACTAAATTCTGTCTAGTGTATGTTAAGGCTTTTTGGGGTCTTGATGTTAGATAAACTATGAACAGCAGGACAGAAATGGTTGGACACATTTTCTTTTACCTAATTACGCTGTTCACCTTGCAGTAAATAGGTATCCAGGAGTTAGGCAACTGTTATTGGATTGCATCCTCACAAAGGTCAATGGTTCGACCGTGGGAGGACCTCAATACAAACTTAAAATACTGTATATGTATACACAGGCTTCGTGTCCTCAATAAAAGAAATTATTATTATACATCTTAATGAACTGTAAATAGCTCATCAATGCTGTAACTTGCTTGCATCAACAAATTTTGGGATTCAGTTCCTGAGCCCACTGTGCCTGTGTAACCTTTCCCATTACCACTCAAAAGATGAATATATGAGTTGCATAACAAATGCAATATTTTTATTAACCTTGTGCTTCATCTCCCAGACTATTCATACAGATAGTTTTGAGTGACGTAGGAAACTGGTAATGCCAGAAATGCCAGAGGATCCCAGACGTACCTTAATCGACTGTGCCATTACACAATCAAAAGAATTGCAACTGGGAGTTCATCTGCGCTCACACGGATCCTGCAGTCTCTCCGAGACACAAACCAGGGTTTTACACAATTCCCCTGTACACCCGGGCTCTGTCAACAAGCTGTTCTAACTCTTTTTTTTTTTTTCTACCAATTCCCCCGGGTGCACGGGGAATTGTGAAAAAAACCCTGGTTTGTGTCTCAGGAAGAGAGTAGGATCCGTGTGAGGGCAGATGAACTCCCGGTTGCAATTCTTTTGACCGTGTCGTGGCACAGTCGATTAAGGCGCATCTGGGATCCTCTCAGACATAGGCTCGAACCCTCATCACAGTCCTTGTGGATTTGTTCATTTGATGCATCATGCTATTGTGATTTTTGTGTGTTATACATTATTAGTTGAACATAAGACATTGGAACTAGCGATTCTGGGTAGATAAAAAAACAGCCACATGGTTTTTTTTTTATCCACGAGAAAAAACTTATCATTTCTTATCATTCAATGATAAGGTAACTGGAGGGACCAGTCCACTAGAGTGCAGACAGTGTTACAATTAATAAATCAAGCAAACATCCTAGCCATATGTTACCGAATTAGGCAATCGAAACCGAATATTTATTAGTATTTGAACAGATCATTACATAACAGATACAGACACTGCAGTAATCCATGGTTCAACACTCAAGAAGTATGGTCTTGACTTATAATTCTTAGCACTCTTCCTTCCCTACCCAAATCACGCTTAACACACTGCCCAAGGACTCGGATTATCCAAGTGGGAAACACCCTTTAGCATCAGAACTTTCCTCCTCATTGGGGGGAGATGAGGAGGTTTAAAGTGCTAAAAAATACTATGTGATGCTAAAAATCCCCATCACACAGGATGGTTAATCATACAGAGGCATGTGATAAGCATCCAGCATCACTGCCGTCATGTCCTCTAAAGCAAACACCAACATACGATAGATTAAAATAATAAACAGAAACACTTCTATTATATCCTGCACTTAGCTAAATTAATTTTGGGGTTCAGATCCTGAGTCCATATAATAAAATATTTTCCACTACTGTCAACGGGATGAGTATGGGGGGTCCAGTACTACCCATGGGATGGGTATTGTCACTACTGCCCACGGGATGGATATGGGGATTGTCCATTACTGCCTATGGACAATCCGTCCTCAATGTAGTCAGTGCATGGTTGCAATGGAATGGGTATGGAGTGTCACTACTGCCTATGGGATTGGTATGGGGGGTTCACTACTGCCCATGGAATGGGTATGGGGGATACAGGCCTATAGGATTAGTATGGCGGGGGGGGGGGGGGGTCCACTACTGCCTATGGAATGAGTATGGGCAGTAGTGACCCTTCATACTCATACCAAAATGCTTGCCCAGTAGATGGATTACTGGCAGGCATTTTGAGTCCAACTGAAGTCAGATCGATGTTCTATGAGTTGTGTGTTTGGAGTAATTTTGAGCCAGAAATCTTTTGATGTAAAATGCTGTGAGTGTGCAAATATATGTATTGATATTGTTAATTATTGTTCTGCTAATTGTCTCATCATCATAATTTTGTGACATTGTATCTATACAATGTATCATCTTTCTAATTCTTAGAATTAGAAAGATGGCATGCACTTTATGCCTAAAATGTGTTTTTATTTAGATAGCTATACAGTACACCAGCTTAGCAAACATTGAAATGATTTGTGTAATTTGTTCCCAATTATGATGCCGATTGTGATTATGACAATGCCTCTTTGTTATTCTGTTATTGTGACTTCTGTAACTAATGTACTATATTTTTTATGTAACCTTTCTAATTACAAATGCACAACCGTTTATAAATAAAGTTTTTTATTTGATTTGATTAAATTGTGCCCAGGATGAGTATGGAGTGCACAATAAACTATAGCCACCACTGGGGGTAACAATAAAATTATCCAATAACCAATGAGCCGTATTAACAACAACGGCATCAATAAGCTGAGCATCATACGTCTGGCAATGATGATAAACCAATCCCCTTAAACAGCGAGATCCCACAATGATAGATCTAAACCACATCCTTAACACAGCATGGGCTTTGCAGCACTCAGTGTATATCTACGTGAAGACAGTGGCAACTGAACCCCACCCGAAATTCGACCTACATTATACGTCTGGCAACGGCTGAACAATCAACCGCGCTTTCTCACAACTGCGATGTTTGCTGCCGGCATCGTCAGCTGGAGAGGTTCGAGGGGAATCAGTGCATCAGGAAACGTTTTAGGTGTAAGGTGCACTCGATAAGCTCTTCAAACCTTACTCTTTTTTGCTGTGTCTGTGTTTGTACTACTATAGGGTAAGTGGAACTGTGACAACAATCGCCATTTCTGCATTAAACACATGTTATTGCATTTTAAAGTATTTAGAGTAAACACGCCATGTTATAATTATAATTAAGTGTAGCCTACAGTTATATATATATATTATCAGTTCAAGCTTACTGCATCAGTCTTGCAGCCACAATTTAAAGTCGTGTCGCCCAACCGGCCCAATTCATTAGGACTCGTATTGTCTGCACCCGCCACCAGTTAATCGTTGTTTGCAGCACATTGTTAACCAAGTGTGTTGTCTACACCAGTTGTCTTGTGTATACCAGTTTTTCGATTGATTGATTGATGAAGATTAAGCCACCCAAAAGGTGGCACGGGCATGAATAGCCCGTAAGTGGAGGCCCTTTTGAGCAATGTACGTACGTTTTGGCAACTTATGTACGTAACATAACAGATCTGTGGAGGTGCGACTGCACCCTGCGTGACGGGAGATGTCTCCCGTGCAGTTTTTCGTTTGGTTCATTTATTATGCGGCCAATATACGCGGGTCCATCCCATCCTATGGGTAGTGGTGGCCGGGAAGGTTAGAGAGAAGACACATGATGGGGCTCAGGAGCTGAACCAGTTGTCCTAATTGTCCACAGCAGGTGGTGCTGTTCACGACAATTGCCTTGTCAACACAATTGGTGGTTGGGTTGTGAGTGCATGAGAGTGCGTAATACATATTATTTATTACAATTCAGCCTGATATTATAATGTCAACTTGGTGGTAAACGTTAACAACTCGTCCCAAAATATTATCATGCATATTTAAGGTTACTACAATGAGACGTTCTCGGGAACGAATATAGATTGACCATTAATCTAGCAAATGACACCAAACTGCATGATAACCTTCATTGACGATTATCGTAGACAGTTACAACGACACGGGGTTGTGAGGGGTGGTGGCCGGGGGTGTATAATGACAGACAATCACCATTTAACGAGACTGTTAACGACGGTAGGAATGGCAACAGACTAGCAATATTTGGCGATACTTATGTACGTAACATAAATATTCAGATATACGTAATGAATGTAAAGACACTATAACACAAAGGGCACGCTTGTAAGAGAGAAAAAAGAATTTAAGCTGATGCACTAGTATAGAAACGAATGCTGCTAAATATAGAACGAAAATGCTTTAAAGAGCAAGGGCCACTAGGACGGACGGGAGATGGGTTAGAGCCAGGGAAGGCACCCCGAGGGTTGGGTCCCCTCAGAGACGCAGATGGTTAAAGGTGAGAGGGCTGGGCGAGGCGTCCCCGAGTTGCGATTCACTATGGAAATATTTAGGGAATTCAGGGCTAGATGGGTAGTCGATCGGTGGCGAGGCGGGTACACGAGTCTCGGCAGTGGACTAAAAGAGCATGATAAAGCTTATACCCTTGCTAACCTTGTAGTAAACACAGAAATTGTCGAACGTAATCTTGAGCTATCGGGTAAATCCATTAAATGTGTCATTAGAAGAGAGCTCTTGACTGAATTTGAAGAAAGTAGGAACAAGCAGATTCATTGTTTACCACAATGAGATGCGTCAAAACATGTGTATTGTGCAAGGAACAAAGTCAATAGAGTAACATGTTAATTTTCACAGCTCGAATACGACTTGGTTAAGGTTTGTGTCATTTGGACTTGTATAGGGATCTAGATGAAGCAAAGAGTGTGTGGACAAATACAGGGACACGCACACTAGCACATTGCATCTTAGACTTTGTAAGCATTTAACTCTTTACATATAAATTTAAATTCACACTGCATGACATGACAAGCTATTTTATTACAAATGATACTTTAAATCCTTGCACTGTATCCATATTCCGCTTCTAGTAGATAAATGACTTGAGGTTATGAATAGGCTGTGAAGTGTAACGTCTAATAATCACAAACAACAGCTCTTTTATGATCCTGTAATATCTCCATATCTAAATATTTTATGTATTGGTAAAAGACGTAAGACGTAAATGCCAAAATGCTGTTGAATTTTAAGTCCAACTAGAAAAGATTATCAGGGCAAATGTGGTGGGGGGGGGGGGACCTTCGACAAGTTGCCGGCTTCATGTCCTCAAGGCCACTAGTGTTAGTGGCCCTTGGGTAAATAATGTTGATTTGGTAGTTGTGACGTGCACTGTTATGCGCCACAACCCAGATCTTGAAATTTTTCAATATTAAAAAACATTTGCCAGTCTTTCGACGTTTTGTAGAGTTCAAGTAGATCTTTTTTGTAAGACTTGATATCACTTTCACTTCCCACTTTACCCCAAATCTTAGTCATCTGCAAATTTGATGATGTGGATTGTAATATTCTCATGTCATTGGTGTATTTGAAAAAGGGTTGGCCCCAATATGGAGCCTTGCAGTACCTCCACTCGCCACATTTTTCCAGTCAGGTTAATTTATTGCACAGTGCAAACAAGTTATTTTGTTGATACTTAAAATAGTTTTAAGCATTTGATATTACAGGATAATAGAAAAGTTGGTGTGTATGATGTTATTCTATATAGCTTGTAC